TCATAAATCTGACAAAATATATTGTGATTTAGAAATCTGTTAAGGGAGTAAACTGTGCAGCCTGTACTACTTTATCATTGCAACAACCAGCCCTAGAGGTTTGCATTGTAATAAATATAATTCTGCATTGGATGAATAGTGCAAGATGAAGATCAAGGGGTTTAACAATAATACCATAAATATGTCTTTTCTTCAATTTTGTTTTATGAAGAGTAAAAAAATATATTAAAAACTCAGTCCAAGAGATCTGTGACACAAAATGAGGAATGAAACACGTGGCAATTAGTATAAGCCCATAGCATACAAACTCCTTTCTTATCATCCAGGCAAATTATAAAACTCCTCCTCCATACTCTGCTGCGTCCTCAAGCACATCTGGCAGTCCACAGGCATTCAGATAGAGGGTAGACAGATCACTGTTTACTGTGGTCACTGTTGACAGGGAAGCAGTTTCCATCTCCTTTTGCATTTGGCCCATTCACACCAATAAGTCAGCATAGCAGAGGTTGGTAAGCAGACAACAGCAGCAAGTGCTGAGGCCCATGCACAAACACAAGAATCTAGACTTTGCCTCTCCTGTGGCCCTTTATCCACATGTAATATCATGCCAACCCAAAAACTGTCAATGCTCCAGCCCCATCCCCTCTCTTAGGACTTGGAACAAGGACAGTAAATACCTGAAAGAGAACTTCCTACATAGTTTCATTAAAAAAGGATTTAAGTGTGCACAAAACCACTCCTCCATCAAGTGGTCAAACATGAGTTTTTCCAACAGGTCACAGTTCTTCAAGAACTGGTCAAGAAAGGAACCTTTCCATGAGGCAAGTCTTTTAGGAACTGACTGCAACTCCTGCCAGGAGTGTGCCTACCACTTGGATCTAGTTGTGTCTGGCATGGAGCAGCTCCTGAATTTCTTCTCATAGAAGCCACCCCTGCAGCCCCCCTGCTACCAAAACCTTTCTGTATAAACCAGATACAGTCAGTTTTTCAAATTATTTGCAGAAAAAAAATTGTTTCCTACTTTTGAAAATTCAAACCTAAAATATCAGTGATTTAAAAAATATCTTGCTAGCTAATGTTAACCTAAATTGGGTTACTCTTAAAAATATGTGTTGTTCATCAATCACTCTTTAAGATCTATGGATTTTTTTTCCCCCAACAACAAGATAACCTTATCATAGTAAAGTTAGAAAATTAAACTTAGAAAAAAAAATTAGTCTATGCATCTACAAGCTCCACAGTTCAGCATTCTGCACAAGTCCACTGCAAAACATATTCAGTTAATACAGTATTTAATAACCAGATATTTACCATAATCATTAGAGATAATACAAAAATCCAGTTATTATTCCTGAAAATTAATTTATAAATTTGTTTAAAGGTCATAGTCACAGATGAAATAGAGAGTATTTTTCCATAAACAGCATGTTTTGGGTATTGAATTATATCATCAACAAGGGGGTTTTTTTCTTCATTTTATCCCTTCCCAGATGAACCAGTTAGATCCATTTAATATTTGTTGCCATGCTATTTGTCAAATAATATAGCTATTAATTTAAACTTTCTTTTGCATTCCAAGAAGTACAATTGACAAAACTGCATAATAACAGTGTATGATCTCAATTGTTTCATCAGTTCTGCTCATCTTGTACAACTGAAGTCAACCTTTCAAAAACTGCATATAGAAACATTTTAAACCAACATACTGCTGGCTAAGAATAATATTAAGGACTCACATTTTTTGTGAGATATAATTGATGTTAAATTTTATGTTCAGAACTTCAATCTGCATAGTTTACTACTGTAAGTTGCAGAGACTGCATAAATTCTATATTCTGTGGAGGCATAGATATTAAAGAGAAAGATAATTGTCAACTTGAAATCATTTAGAAAAGGATTTAATTTCTGTATTTCAATATCATGTTTTTGATCTTATTAAATCTGTTATTAAACAAAAAAATGTTGCCATTGTTTGCTTATACCTTCTACAATTATGAATCAGCCATTTATTGGTTAATACCATTATATTGTTCTAAGCAACTACAATCAGTCTTGAAAATAATCTCCCAAATATACATTTTAGAAAGGCTAGGACATTAGGTAACTGTGCTTTGCTCTGGAATTCATTCCATAACACCTTATGCATATCCCTTTTGTCATACAGATCAATATGGACAAAGATATTTACACAGCTGTAATTTCAATCTTTGCTAACCTAAACACCTAACCATAACCCGTATTACAGGAATAATCCTTTTCTACTCTTCTAACCCTATATATGATGTGATATTTTATTTGGACTCAGGCTAGCATCCCAGAAATAGAAGGTTCCTGAATTAGAATTTAAAGCCATTCTTTTCAAGTTATTTACAGTATTAGGGCAAATTAGAGAGAAATAGTTTCAGAATTTAGAAAGGTTCAGTGATGACATTAGGATGTGTCTACATAGGAATAGCCAGGTTCCATCTAAGATATAAATTAAGTTATGCTGAAATCTTTGAAAAAGAAACTCTCTCCTTCCTTAACTCCTGTTTTTCATTTAATGGCAACTGCAACCTTAAAATATATGTTAGCTTACTCTACAAGTCTTTTCCTTCTCCCCATATGGTTGGCCAAGTCCCCAGTGCCATGACTGATTTGGACATGAACTCAGTGTTAGAATAATTGCCTCATAAGACTGTTTCTACCTTACTTTTTCCGGTTGTGGAGAGTTCATTTTGTCATGAAGGGTTCACCACAGTCCTTTCCTCTAATATTGTTGATCTTTATTCTGCTCATGTTGTCAGTAGGTGCTCAGGGTCACAGAAAACTGTTTTATGGTGATACTTTTTGGTTTCCCTGCAGTCAGAGGCCAGGAGCCCTGGACACAGTGAGCAAGTATGCTTAGGATACTATGGCAGGCAAGATGTCCTGGCTGAAAATGCTGCTGAAGACCAAAGGAGCACTCAGCCCTGGTGATGATGCATCCCAGGGCGTGCTTCTCAGCCCAAAATGGAGAAACACAGCAGAAGTCCCATAAATGTCTTGTTATCTCCCTCTGAGGCTGGGGCAGGCAGAGGCAATTTCCTTGCCCATCAGTGGGATCAAAAAGTTCTGTTGCCAAGCTGAAAGAAGGGGCCAACAGGAACCTTGTGAAACTGAGAAATGACAAAGTCCTTCACCTGGGGTAGAAGAGTCCTTGCAACAACAGAGGGATTATGGTTTTTCCAAAGTAACTATTGTTTAGAGACTGGCTAGGCAATCAGCCTGCTGGTGGTATGTGATTGCTTTTGCATCCTTTTTTTTATTTTTTTTTTTATTTTTTTTAAATTTTATTTTATATTTATTTTCCTTACTCCCTCTCCCCAGTTATTAATCTGTCCTTATCTCAATTCAGAATTTTTTTCTCAATTTTGCCCTTCCAAATCTGTCCCTTATCCCAGTGTTGCAGAGTGAATGAGGGCTGGGTGGATACTTAACTGCCAGCTGGGGTCAACCCATCATAAAGATGATGCCCAGAGAGTTTGTGCAGTCCTGGAGGGTTTTGAGACCTCACTCGACAAAACCGTGAACAACCCATTCTGACTTCTTGCTTTAAACAGGCAGTAGCACTGAAGCTCTCCTGAGGTCCATTCCAGTCTGGCTTATTCTGTGATTCCATGTTTTGCAGCTCTTGTAAATCAAATATAGAGGTCTGATACTAACAGACAGAACTGATACCAGCAGAGTTGCTTACAGATGTCTAATATTCTATGCAAGTAACTGTTTTTTAAAAAAACTAACAAATAAATAAACCATGACCGACATGTAAGATATTTGAAAAACAGTAGCATGCCTTAGCAGGTGAGTATCTTTCTGGCCATATCTCAACCCTCAAATAACTTGCATTACACAGAAATCAAGAAAACACTGATGTGATTTGTTATGATGTTATCTGATATGTATGATATATTATGATAAAATAAATACTAGTAAAGAAAAGTCCATGCTTGGAGTTTGTTATGTAAGATGTTTTAGAAAGGTATGCTATATGCATGAACTTCAATCTACTGTTCCTTACCCATCACAGAAATATAGAAAAATCATAAAATTACATTTAAAAGCAGACATCAAGTACAGATCTCGGTCTTTACCAAGAGGAGTTATCTACTGTAACTAAACCCCAAATCTAGTTACTTAGAATGCAATTATTCAACACTAAATGCACATAAATTAGATTAAATTATTTATTATTTAGGCAAATTAAAAAAATGTTACTGTTTCTCACCACCCAACTCGAAGGTATGCACACTTGCTGATTGATTGGTGGTTTGGGGGTTTTTTTGCTTTCTCTTACACAGCTTTTGGAGGGGTAATGAAAGTGGGAGCCCTCTGGACTACTTAACTATTGGCATAGAAAACCATAAAATAAAGGAAATATTCTCAGCTAAGAGTGTCTGAATAATTTATCACATCATTTTTAGCAGTACAATAAGATTTAAAAGTGAATGGATCTTTAGAGGAGTGTAGAAAAAAGAAGTAAGACACTTCTTTCTGTTCCCCCTCCCCTAAGAAGAGTTTTGGTGTTCAGCAAGATAGAGAAATGTTTTGCCTCATAGCTTTTTCTGCTTTGACCTTCATCAGGACTCTGTAGCTACCATAGTATATCTAATCTTTTCTGTTCTTTCCAGTGTTCACTTTTGTTTCCTAGTCTTGTTAGACTTGTAATTTCTCCCTGCTCCTTTTAAAAAGGGAAAGATATTTCCTTCTGCTTCTGTACCCTACAGAAATTCCAAGTCACAGAGTTCCAGTTTTCCATGTCTGAGAATGGGCTGTTCTGTCTTGTATAATCCTTGTTTTAGGGACACATGTTAACATTGTGAAAGAGTAATTTTGAGAGTGAGTTCTCCCCAGATAATCAAAGTAATACACATACCTTATTTTCAACCAACAGCTTATTTTGTGTATGTTTATGATCACAATTCAGTTTAGTTATTGCTGGTTTATTATTTCATCTCCAGATGTCCCTGTATTTATTTTACCTGTAGTTTCAGTTTTCTAGTCTGTTCTTCCAAACTGTGTTTTTCTGCTTCAAGTCGTTCTTTCTTTCCCCATTCAGAGGTATTCTCACAATGCATTCTTTCCAGCTGGGAATGGTTGGAGTGGGAGGAAGAATAACCAAAAGAGGAAAAAAAGAAAGAGGAATAATATAATTAAAAACTCCTGCTCTTCACTGGGTGAGGCTAATGGTTTCATCTTAAAGTAAGGTGGGCATCTTAGAGATCAGTTCAAGCTGTAAGTTTTCCATATTTCATAAAGTTAAATATTTGAATTTGAACAGAAATAACCAAGACAGTCCATTTTTCATCAACTGTACCTTCATAAAAATAAAGCACAAATATTTTTTTAATATAGAAACTGGAAACAAAATCTTATTCTTTTCCTGCTATTTATGGAAAAAAACATTTTTTAAAAAAATAATGAAACGTTTTAAATAACATTACGACTGATATTGGCTTGACAATGTCAAAGTTCACTTTCTATTCTCCAAAAGATGAAAAATCAGCATGTTTTTACTCTGTTTACACTTTTGAATGACGATAATGAATATTCATTAAACTGAAGAAGTTCTAAAGTATGTCTTCAGTACTGCATACTGCTAACCTCATAATCAGAGAAAATAAGTTAGCTTAATAATCAGAGAAAATAAGTTTTTTAAGTTTTCACACTTTAAGTTTTCACTTGGTCACAGTTAATAGCTTAAGGGAAATAATATCTTTTATGGTCAATGCTGTGACCTTAATTTAGGATAACTTTATGAATTCATTCATCAGATTCACATATAGGGAGAATTAAATATATCAATAAAAAGCCATGTTACTAAATCATATAAAGTAATTAGTTAAGAACCAATTTATACTTCAGAGACAACTACATTGAGGTTTTGTCAAGGCTGCATTAAATGTTCCTCAGATGTCAAAAGAAAAATGGTAAAATGAATTTGTTTTATAGTACAAAACAGGTATTTATTAGGTGCTAATATATATATTGAATAGAAGATTATTATTGTTAAGTACTTACTATTAACAAGTCATTATTAACTGGTTCTTAACATAGATTAAAAGAGATTAAGATAGATTAAAAACTGTGAAAATAAAAGGTTCCAGTTCTTTCAACTGAGATGAAAAAAGAACTGAAATGTTAATACATAAAACTCAAAATTTTAAGAACTTTTTACAATTTTTCAGTTCTGTGAGAACTAAAATCAATTGTTTGATAAAAACAGACTGATAACATTGTGAGGCACTTCTTCATTGAAGAAACAGAATATTTGTGCTTTAGAAAGGGCCAGAGAGGTGTACTTTTTAAGATATTTTTTACTTTTATTCTAAAATCAATTACTGGGAAACAATGAAGAGCTACTGAATGTGAGGCAAAGAGAATGAGCTGTTACAGCATCAGAGAAGCATAATCCAGACCCTGTGAATATTAACAGTGATCATCTAGCTGAATCAAATTGCAAACTTGTCTATTACCACTTTATTTCTGAGCAAATAAAAACAATTAGAAATTCTGTAAAGTTAAAAGAGGTTCATTCAGGTTTTCAGAGGACAGTAAAAGGGATTACTGTACTCTACCCTGTGCTGGTGTAGCCTCACTCTTGAGCACTGTGTGTCAGTTTTGGGTACCACAATATAAGAAGGTCGTTGGACTACTAGACTGGGTCCGGAGGAGGATGACCAAATGTTGAAAGGTCTTAATGGTAACACTTAAAAGGAATGGCTAAGGATACTTGGTTTGTTCAGCTGGGAGAAAAGAAAGATGAGGGGGAACCTCATCATAGCCTACAACATCCTCGAAGGGAGGTGCTGATCTTCTCTCTCTGGTGACCCATGATAAGAGCCAAAATGGCACGAAGTGACATCAGGAAAGTTCAGGTTGGACATTAGGTAAAGGTTCTTCACTGAGGGGGTGGTTGGTAACTGGAACAAGTTCCCCAGTGAAGTGGTCACAGCACCAAAACTGGCAGAGTTCAGGGAGTGTCTGGACAATGCTCTTAGTCATGCAATTTACTTTAGGTAGTCCTTCGATTAGCAGGGAATTGGACTCAATGATCCTTCTGGGTCCCTTCCAATTTGAGAGAGTCTACGATTCTAAGTACAGAGGATGACTACCAACTACTTTCATTCAGAAAACTAAATTGTGAAAGAGTTGAAAAGTGAATGGATTATGTTTAAAGGCATTTTATTCTATCAGCAACAGATATATCCATAGACTGTTCCTTCTCATCATCCTTAAACAAAAACAACAACACATGTGCAACTCTTCCCCCACACCACAGCCTTGGTGTTTTCCCAAAACCTTGGCCAGTCTTAACATCGTGATACACTGTTGGATGGTAGTATTTGGAGATCAATGTGAAGCAGTTCTTAAAACTAAAATTGGCTTTTGATTAGGGAAAATAACAAGATAGAAAGAAAATAATACATTGCTTTCATATTCTGTATCATATTGGTTGAATAACTGGAAAGAAATTTAACTTTTTAAACAATTACAGTATTCAGCAGTTTTCTTTGCATTATAGACTTGTTCTTGTATGAAAAGACTTAATGCAGCTACAAAACTACTAGTTTTGGGAGCTTGGTCCACCTGACTAAAATACAGCAGAGTGAGAGGTCTATGTATTTTAGATTCATTCTACCTCATAATTTTTATAGGTTATTTACCAAGTTAAATTACTTAGAATATGACAAGCATTTGTACTTAGATTAAACTATGAGATTAACTTGGTTACAGCATGGTGCTAATAACAACAAGGTCATGAGTTTAATTGCTGTATGGGCCACTCACTTAAGAGTTGGATTCAATAATCCTTGTGGGTCCCTTGCAACTCACAATATTCTTTGATACTGTGATTCTAAGTAAGGAATTAGGGAAGGATAATTTTGTACCATGGGTTTTGGCATGGTCTAGCTGGCTGTGATAGACAACAAGGTGTTAACTCCAGTGCAGACAACATTATTTGATGTTTACATGTTCCCAATGAGGTCTTTAAATTTGCTCACTGAATTTCTGTACAATATTATTTTTTCCCTACCAAAATTATGCAAGTTTATTTTCAAATACTGTCTACTGGACTACAAGCACAAACCCTGTATTTTTTCCTAAGTAAATATGCAGACATAATGTCTTACAAGTATCCATAAGAATTCTCGGACATGAGAAACCCTGTGTTCTTGCAAAGCATCTGCCAAAATACAGAGCTGAAATTTTAAGCCTGAAAGATCACCTTTTCCCAGTGTTGACACTAATCAATACAAATTCATTTTTGGCAGACTTCAAATAGAGAGAAATCACGAAACTATCCAAGGTTGAATTTCCATCAAGCAATTAAGCAGAAGATGACTATCAAACCAAGATCTGGTGTCAAAGATAAATTTACTTACCTCTATGTCTGTAAAATTTCAATTCACTGCACCCAAGGTGTTTATGAGTCCAATAATGATATATTTACATATTTAATTGTCCTGATTTCAGCCGGGATAGAGTTCAGTTTCTTCCTAGTAGCTGGTACAGCGCTGTGTTTTGAATTTAGTGCAAGAATAATATTGAAAACACAGGAATGTTTTAATTGTTGCTGAGCAGTGCTTACACTAAGTCAAAGTTCTTTCAGCTTCTCATACTGCCCTGCCAGCAAGGAGGCTGAGGCTGCACAAGAAGCTGTGAGGGGACAGCTGATCCAAACTAGCGAAAGGGATATACTATTCTATATGATACCATGTTGAAAAAAAAAATACATGGGGGTAGTTGGCTGGGAGGGGCTGATTTGTTCTCGGAGTCTAGCTGGTCATCAGTCAGCAGGTGCTGAGAAGTTGCAATGTTTGTTACTTGTTCTGTATGTATCTTTTATCATTATTAATATTTGCTCTTCCTTTACAGTCATATTAAACTGTCTTTATCTCAACCCACAAGTTTTACTTTGTTTTTCTGATTCTCTCCCTCATCACATAGGAGGGGAGTGAGTGAACACTTGTGTGGTGTTTAGCTCTCTGCCTGTGTATGTACCATGCGCATAAAGAACTCCATAATAAAGTCAGAAAAATAAAATCTACTTTATTTCTCTGTCATTCATACCATTCTTCCAAAATGAGTAGGGAAATTAGAGCAAAGAGAAAAACAAGTTTGGAATTAAGTTATGAAGAACAAGCAAAATTAGATAATTTGTGATCTCTTCAGTGTAATTTTCTGTAAAAAATCTTGTAGGGCTATGGTCTTTCAGAACACACCCAAGTCTGTTCAACCCTCTTTGAGATGTTGTAAGACGGTTCTTTATGTAATGGATGTTTTATCTTTCAGGAAAGATTAAGTGCAATGGCCAAAGGCAATGCTAGATGTTAAGTAGATTTTTGAGAATATATTCTTCTCATCAAAACAAGGCAAAACAAAAGAAAACAAGCAAAGAAAAAAAAAAGAAAAGCTTCAGGAATCTGTTTATCTCCAGAAACACACTGTGAAATGTTCTTGTTTTTCAATTGAAAATGATTCTATGTTCCTGTGTTACTTTAAGTGGAACCTGGCATTTTTAAATTTTTTCCCATACTTCATCACATGAAAAACAAGAAAGAAAGAAACAAAATCTCTTTAATTGAGTCTATTGCTGCCTTAAATTGAACTCTGTCCTTTTACTTTTCACACAGAAATACTTCACTCAAACAGTAATACTTATTTTTCAGCTTGAAATGTATTACTGAAATTTCAGTTTAAAAAAGCAAATTGACTTAACAGCAGTGATACCTATTTCACATCTTCAGTGAAAAGAATTTCAGGTGGGTTTTTTTTCCCTAGAAGATATACATTGTCATATTTGTACAGAGAATAAGTATTTTAGAGGTTGTCATGTGGAACTCCAGATTTTGATTTTTAAAGGAAGTGAAAGATAAGAAACTATGTACAACATTTGAAAAAAATCTTGAGATCTTTAATTTTCCCTTCAAATGTGAATATTTTCACTCCATAAAATGTCTCCACAGACTTTTTACCTTTTCTCCACTGAATTTTACCTTTTAATAGGAAGACTGGAATAATGGTGGAAGCATAGAGTGAGGTCAAGATACTGTCAGTGAAGTGAATAATTGCAAAGGTGAAT